TCCGGATTCGACCAATCGATCATTACAGATCCAGTGGATCCGATGGATCTGGATCTGGATCCGACCAAACGATCACGGCCTAGGCCGTGATCGTTTGGTCGGCAGGGGCGTGGCAGCCGCTCCGGACGGTCCGGCTTTGGCGGACCACTTTTTCGCCCGACCACGACCACCATAGTAAAACAATGCCAAAAGTGCCCAGAATGCAGGATTTTGCACCCTAATTTCAAAACAATTACGGGGCGAGATCCACCCCCCCCCCCCCCCCCGGCCGGACAGTCAGAGTTTTTTTTTAAACTCCAAAGCACGAAAAAGGCCAAAAACTAAACCAAGAACATGTGCAATAACATGTTATTTAGAAAGACAGGACAAGTGAATAATTAGTCAGTCCATTGTTCATGATGATCTCCGACGGTTACGTCGGCAAGCGAGCCTCCGCCACTGCCAAATAGGCCTTGGCGGATAATGCTCGAAAAGGTGGCAGATTCTGCTTTTTTTGCACCGAAATTGGCAGAACCATACAAACCTTATGGCGGGCAATTCATCGAATTCTGCTCCATTTCTTTATCCACATACCAAACATGCATGAAACTTACCAGAAAAGTACCGAATTCTGCCAATTTTTCTGCCGGCATTATCCGCCAAGGCCTACTGCCAAAGCAGCGTGGGCTCCGCAGGAGGGTGCAAATTTCAAACCAAAATTTAAACGCCTACAACCGCGAATGCACATGATACAGGATTTCAGAAGGCTGAAGGAAATCCTGCATCTAACAAATGCCATAACATGAGAGTAATGCTCACCCTCTTTTTTTTCTCTTCTTCCGTGGTTGGTCTCACCCTCTCCTCAATTCAATTGGCTGTCTTGACATGCCACGAGGTGCAGAAATAAATAAATAAATAAATAACCCCTCTTCTCAGCCAACAGATGAGCAATTCGTTTATACAGTGCTGTTGATGCTGGACCCATTCCGCCACTGGCTGACATGACCGCCGGAACAAAGGAGGCTTGCTCAACCTGCCTCACCCGCTCCTCATAGTGCCTTCTCTTTTCTTTTTCATGTCGCTGATACACAATAGTATGTGGTGCAGATCGATTTGAGCGTGAGTGAGGATTAAAAACCCGTATATCAATAAGTGTACACTCAAAACGACTGCCCCACAAACCATTGGCAGCGACATCCAACCGGGCACGGTCTTCCACATTTGCGGTCCGGTAGCGAAGACGCTCCCCCGTCAGCGGTTGCAGCAAAGGCTCGATGGACACACTGGTGCACACCTCGTCCAGCAGCCGGGCCGTGACGTCCCGAATACCATTGTGTCTAATGGAGGGAAACCCTCCATAGGGGCACGACAGGGAATGCGCGACAGTTGCCTCTTGGCCGCAAGAGCAGTGCGACGGTACCGTGGCCGGTGTCCATCCGTAACGGAGGCAGAGTCCGTCCCAAAACTCTCCCTTTGATAAATTAAAATGATATTTCTTAAGTGGACGGCACGTCAGCCACCTCGACGACCCTTTCTCCTTCGCGACGTCTATGACATGTTGTAGCAACTCCGACGCACTGCCCGATATCGCGTCGAATTCCAGTTTCTGATGACGTCGAGAAGATGCCTTGGCGTCTCTCTTGGCCGATCTGATTAACACTACCGAGTCACCGATGGAGCCATCCCCTGACAAGATTCTCCGAGACAAAGGGTTGGTCATCCGAACCGACGATTCGTATTGTTGGCATAGGGACACAGGGTTAATCAAACCGAGCCCACCCAGACGACACGGCAAAGCCATAAGCCGTCGGAGGGTGTCGCCTGGGGGTGCACGGCAAGTTAAGGCGGGAATCAGTTCAGACTTCACAATGTCCTCCAGCGGTTGGAACATGGGTTCGGGTACCTTCATGGTACGACAGAGGAACGCCCATCTACCCCTGAGGCCCGTCACATACGCAGAATACGCAGCCTGCGGCTGGGTTTGTGCAAATACTGCTAGCTTCTTCAGTTCCCGCATCCATTCGTCCACCTTTGTTTTTGATATAACTTTGAAGAAAGCTGTCCCTTCCGATTGCTGCGCCAAGATATCGTGATCCCTCGTCCGTTATCATTACACCAGTGTCTCGAAACAATTCAGTCGCCTCCTGGTAACACCTTTCCTTGACGACAAGGACCGATTTCTTTGGGTTTACGTAATATCCATATGCCGGTCCTCTCTTGTCCATTATGTCCCACCATAGACGGAGTCTGCGAAGACGAGCAGCAGCGGATGAATCGTCCGCGAACCATTACTGCACCGCACCCGCCTCATCCGCCAAACGTATCAAGGGCATTATTCCCAACGCGTACATGTACATTGCAAGGGGATCACCCTGTGTTGTCCCTTCTTGCGACAGGATACTTTCACCGTCCACGTAGAGATGAGCTGGATCACGGTAGGTATTAATTAGAACGGTAGCAAGTGATGGACACAAGTGCCGAACATTTCTTAAGCAAGTCTGTCGATTTAGTCTGTTGAACGCATTACTTGCATCCGCCATCAGAATTCCTTCGGTGTCATCCAGCTCAAAGGCCTGCTGCATCGCATGTATTCCCGCCTCTATACCGCAATCCTGGCCAGCGCATAGCTGTATACACCCAACCGCCTCCTGAACGGCTTGGCCTACGACGGAGAGGATGGCCTTGCTTATAATGCGTCGAGCGACCTCACCTATTCCAATCAGCCGGACACCGGATTGCTTGTCCAACTCTATCAATCTGCACGCAGTGGAAGCCGACAAAGATGCTGGGTGCACGTACGTGGAGGCTAAACGCCTTGCACACGATGCTAGTGCATCGCAAAGGCCCTGAGAGGCGTCAGAGAAACTAGCGCAAAAATGCCTCCAGTTCTCGGCGTCAACACCACTCGGCCCCGCAGCACCCTGCGTACCGAGCGCTGCACTCTTAATCGACTGACGTCCAAGGCTGCTGAAATAGATCGGATGAGGTGGAGCAGGTGGATCACCACCAATAACGGCGTCCTCGCTCATCGGCTCTGCGGGTGGATGTTTGTCTTTCAGGATATCCCGGACAGTGCGTCCGTCAATCTCGTCGTCCAACTGATGCACGCCTCCATCATCACCGCTTGTCAAGCCACGGAGCGCCTTGCCCACTTTGCCCGCGGTGACATAATCTGCAAAACGCCTAGCAGGGTCAACCGACGAACCCACTGAATCACGTTTATGTTTGTTCTTGGACGATAGAAGAGAGGTCTGTATGGTGTCCGCTTCCCGTTGCAGCTCTGCAAAATCTCCCTTCGACCACTGGTCCATGCGGCGCTCAAGTGTTTTACCATATTTATTATTGTCACAGTCCGGCTTCTGCAGCATTAGCATCTGGTAGACGGCTGCAATCTTGAGTGCGATCATTTCATACGATCCCCCATCTCCGAAGCAGGAATAGAACGATGTCAAGGTAGTGATAAATCGTCTTCCAATATTTCCAGACGGCACAGAGAAAGCATTCGGGCAAAAGTGAACACATTTGTTATATGCAGCCTCTATGGCTCCAGCTGTCTCCGCTGCAGACAAATCACCAAGCCTGAACGACGGGTCGGAGCTAGCTATGGGTTCCGGCTCGGGCAGATCCAAGCCGGTCCGGACATCAGCTGAGCCCTGCACACGCAAGGTCGACATAGCGGTATTCACTTCAACAGCATCCCCGGACGTGTGCCCCCTGGTCTCCTGGGAAGCAGAGTGTAAGTCACTTGTGGCTGGTACCGAATTACCATGCACAAGTCCCCCAGGCAAGGACCCGGTGTCATACACGTCTGGCGAGCATACTGGAGCAAAAGTGTCGACAGCGGAATGCGGATCAACCGCTTCCTGTCCATCAGGTAAGTTGGTATCAGCTCCAGTTCTAAAGGGTTCAATTTGTTTGTCATTTCTAGTATTGTCCATTTCACCATTGTCAGCTACCGGTAAAGACCGTGCATCGAGGCTCCTATCCAGCCGGCCAGCAGAAGAGAGAATGAGATCGCCCGACACTGGTTCATGTCCAGGTAGAACCGGCACTGGGCAAGCAGGAATACCCCGCCGCTGTGCCAAGCTGGAGTCAGCACCTCCCAAGGAACCATGAACCACTGTGGTACAGTCGCTTGGTGCATTGGAGTGCGCCGCCATCGGCACAAGACCTCTATCATCAGCTCGAGGTGGATACGGATTGCGACATTTCCCATCCATCATTGGCCTGCAGTTTGTGCAGGGCTGCTTCAAGTGCTTGAGGCCGCAGCATCTACACTACAGTCTCTGCACAGGTCACCGTTTGCAGCGCAGCGACAGCACCCCACCTGTCCGCTGTGGCCCTTCGCTCGCTCCCGCTGGCGTACACGGCTGCGCAGCGCGTCTACTTCACGTCTTGACGCTTCCTGCGCCCATACAGATTGGATATCGACATCGTCTCCCATCACGCGTGTACGGTCTGGACACCGCCGTGGCACCTGTGACCATTACACGGACCGGTACGGGCTGAATCCGAATGCAGAGTCACAACTCCATGGTGCTTCGAGAGGGAAAGTGATTCCGTAAAAAGAAATATCGAGGAAAAGAACGAGATTCCAAGACCTCCAGCAAGTCCTTCATGCTATGGGAGAGTAAACTCCCCGAACAACTCCGTTCGTAGGCGCAGTATGCCCTAGTGCACTGGAAAAGTCGAAAACTCGAAGAAATTCCTCCAATATCAGAGCCCAGAAACGCTCAACCGCTCGCCACGAAGCTCTTAGTCTTACAAGACCACCACCAACGGCAACGGCGGTGCTACGCGCCTGTCGCAGATCCTGTGTTGACATAGTCATTGTCGTTGTTATGACCGACCCGTAGTACATGGTCCAGGCTAGTAGTACTACTAGTACTATGGCCCAGTATGGGCCAGCTGCATACCACAGACAGTCAGTGCTGGGTGCAGTGTAGCAGAGATAAAAAAAATGTCATCGACCAACTGCAAGTATTTATTAAAGTAAGTTTGCTACAAGTACAAGCTCGATCCCGAGGAGTTCGTAGAGGAATAACAATAATAGTAATAATGTGTGATCGGTTGTGCTGTGCGTCTTGTGGCAGCAAGGCGAAACGTTTGAAGCTGGTATCTTGTTTGCACGCAATTTGTATAGCGTGTCTGGAGAAGCTCGTTACATTTGATGGACGAGTTCATTGTCCGAAGTGCTTCGCCAAAACGCCAACGCCAAGGTCACCGGCGTCTTCATTACCGGACAATTACCCAAAGCCGACGACACTAGGACAGAGCGCATCTAGCAGTGAGCCGGAACCGGTACTGTGTGACGACTGCGCTGAAGATGAACCTGCCACGGCTAGCTGTGGAGACTGTGGAACGAACCTGTGCAGCGCTCACGCCGTTGTCCACCCACTCTCTCGAGCCACACGTAATCATAAATTGGCATCACTGACTGCTGAGCAAGAGAAGAACGCCCCAAGAACCACTAAACTACAGCACTATTGTGCTTTTCACCCCACTGAGGTGTTGAGCAAATACTGTGTTCCATGTGACCAGCTGGCATGTCAGCAATGCCTGGACACGGGCGCTCACAGCAAACCCGAACAGAAACACCAACTTGTGCCCATTCAGAATGCTGTGCAGGAGATGCGCCAAACTGTGGACACAAACTTCAGCAGTTGCTTGCCAGATGGGGATAGGCTGATCTCCACTGCACTGGATAAGGTAAAGAAAGAGATGGATTGTGTGAATGAAGCTGCGGAGTATGCCTCAAAGGAGATCATGGAACAATTCCAGCAGCTGAAGATGGCTTTGGATTCTAGAGAGCAGACTCTCCTGGAGGAGGTGGACCAACTGAGGAACAAGAAGCTTGCGCTACTGGAAAGCCAGGTGGCTCGGCTAGAGGATGGCCTTGAACTACATCAGGCTGCGTCAGAGCTCTCGCAAAACTGCGATGACGACACTGACTTTGTGAAGATGGCCCATTGGCTGAACAATGCAGTTGATCGCAGGAAAGTTGTGGAAGGAAATGATCTCGAGCCATGCGCAAGAAGTCAGATAGTATTCGGTCGTGATAACGCACCAGAAGTCACTGGTCAGATTCGCAATATCGGCACCGTCCAGGATTTTGCTGATTTCACCGACGGATTAGCAGCTCACATTGAAAATGCTCGTGTGAATGCGAACCTGAAGATTGTGATTAAAGGAAATCTGCCTTCAGGCCTGTCTCAGGAGGAGGTCAATCGTCTTCGTTTCAACATTTCTGTTCACGATGGAGACAACACGGAATTACCCACTACACCGCTTAAACAAATTTCGCAGGAACACCTTGAGCTGACACGCACACAACTTTCAACTGCAGGTCTGCTCACTGTATCCGTACAATATGCAGAAACGCACTTGCAGGGCAGCCCAAAGGTTATTAATCTTCCGCCGACTTTCAATCCGAATCGTTGCCATGGAGATATATCTGTGAGCAACAACGGACGTTCAATAAGGAAGAGTGTAGGGAATTCTGCCAGGGCTACTTGTACATCAGTAATAACAGCCAAGCATGGTATCAGCAGTATTCGAGTAAGAATAGACAAGACAAGTGAGTATGGTGATGTGCGCATTTGTGCCTGCTCCTCAGCTGAGCCACGACTGGAGAAAGTACATGACACAAAAGCGGAGATATTTGGCTGGCGTGGGTATCAACCAGATGGGAACTGCAATGGTGGTCGACTTGGACAGCGTTGGCAAACCGGTGATATCATCTCTCTGCAGCTCGACCATGACAATCAAACGTTAACCGGTCATCACGAGCGCACTGACAGCAGGGAGGTACTTCACGGCATCACTGGGACATGCTGCTGGTATGTTACCCTTTTTGACAAAGGTGATCAAGTCACGATACTGTAGACAATCAACTGCTGCCTGATACTACATATATATATATATAGCACTAGTATAATTTAAAAATAATTTTTAAAAGAGAGTGCATGCATGCATGTACTCAATTTTCTCAGAACCTTTGTATTTCGCGAAACACTGTATACCTGGGGCAGCCTATGCCTTATCTTGAGTGCATGTTACCTAACTGTAAGTCCATGCCGTCCCACATGATAACTGTGACCTATCTTCATCTTGATTGGTGTAGCATGCTAATACAACTTCGACGTATGTTTTCAGTGCCGGCATACCACAAACGACTGAACAGCTTCCTTGAAAATGATATTCAATGAGTCTTCTGAACTTCAATGTACATCGGAGGAGCTATTGCTTTGTGAGCGAAAAATGGCTTCTTTCTTTTTTCTCGAATCTTTTATAAACCTCTATACAGCTGCCTTGTACCCACTCGTACCCGCACATTGCTTGGCTGCTCAAGACATTTTGCTTAACATGCTATACATGATTATTGTGCAACATACATGGCATGTTACATGCACAAACTTGTTGAATTACACTTTATTTGTTAGAATTGAATTCTTTGGTTTCATCCTGATGGTGGGCCTTGCCCGAAATAATAATTAAGTCGTGTGCGTGTGTGTGTGTGTGTGGCGTGAATGCAGTTGGATCCCGGGACGGATACTTTGATGCTCCCAATCCCCTTTCAAGTTCTGCACCTTGTCCTCACCCACTTACTGAGGTGTGGTGATATCAAAAATAAATGGGATCATTTCCAAGTCCACTCAGAGTTAGGGGATTTCAGGGAGTATTGGCCGCCAGGCGGTTCAATGGCCAATTGAATCATTTTTCCAAGGTTCCTTTTGTATCTCTCTCCCCTCTTCGGGGAAGACTCCCGTGACCAGTCATGGCAGTGAACAAGACAGTACAGTTCAGTGTGTGTGTGTGTGTGTGTGTGTGTGCGTGTGTGTGGGAGGGGGGGGGGGGGTGCGTGCGTGCGTGTGTGTGGTTACAGGTGAAGACTGAAGGTAGTGAGTGCTCTGTGGTATGCCGCAAGCAGCAGTGGAGGCTGCTTCCCTGTATGAACTTACTGCCATTAGACAATTCCAAAACAAGATCAAGTCAAGAATCTTACCAGGAGACTTTCTCCCCTTGACACCAATTCGAAGAAAGGAGAAAGTTTGTCGTAACGCAGAGATCAGAGCATCGGAGTGGTAGCTTGCAACATGAATCATCTGCTAAGGATGGTCTCAGGACCAACCAGTTTGCTGCAGCCAGGCATCCAAGTTTGCTGCAGCCAGGCATCCGACAGTTTCATCCTTGAACATTGATGCGAGCACAGTATAACCTGGGGCTAAAACACAGCCAGCCTGTGCCGATCTCTTCTGCCAACTCCAGGCAACACTAAGTCTTAGTGCATGGATACTCAGCGCACATTTGTTTCTGTAGGCAGTTTGTTGAAATGCAGCTGTGTTAGAACATGACATTGTACAGTAACCTCCCCAGATGCGGACGTCCTGATCCGGGCACCTTTCTGACTCATCTAGTCACAAAAATGTACAGTTTTCAACAAAAAAAACGGTCCCCAAAACTATTGATTCGCATAAAAAATGTTACTTGCATGCTGTAACTATGCAAGTTCTGAGATACGGGCAATTCCTAGTTACGGTGGGCAGTGCTCGGTCCCAACCTGCCCGGGTCTGAGGAGTTTTACTATACTGCATTCCCTGGTGCATAGATGGACCGTCGGGAATCGAGTATCGGTGACTGCCACGCACTGACCGTGTGAACAACGAACCAGCATTCAGCACTTTCATCGGCATTACCCGCCAGGTGGGGCTGCGCATGACTGCTCAGAGTCGGAGCTGCGGTGTCCACTTTCCAAGCAGCTGCGCCGCGAGAGAGCCGCGTTGGCCAGGAGCGCGGCGTTGCGGCCGGATATGGCGCTCATCTCCATGGCACTGGCCGCCCACTCAATGGGGCTGGTGTAGAAGACGGCCTGATCGAGGACGAACGACGGCAGCTCCACCGGTGTGCTGCTGTACTTGGGAAAGGCGGCAAACTCTCGCACGGTGACATGCTGTCTTGCACGAAATAGCTTGTCCAGAGTGCCATCGTCCAGCGGTTCCGGTGAGAAGATCTTCCACACGGACTCGTTCTGTGCCGGTTCTTTATGTATGGTTGATCCGGGCATGCCAATACAGCTGAACGGAGCCACGGCTGAAGTTGATACGGCAATGGCCATGGGAAAGGACGTCGAGCTCGACGCATCCAGTCCGAAGTACTCGTTACTCGGCTGGCCAACGACAAACGTCACCACCGTGCGTTGGTACTCGCCGCGGTGCATTGTGCTCGCACTGTGCGCAAAGCCGTTCAGCTCGATCCCGGAATGCTGCAGTGGCGTTGCGATGACAACGGCATCAAACACGTCCGCCTCGCCAGAGCCAGCGCTCACCTGGTACTCCACGGACGACGACGCTCGGTCAAGCCGCTGGACTGCGTTGACCGCCTGATGCCGCAGTGCAACGTCGGCATTGTCAAGCAGTCCTCTACACACCTCCTGGTTGCCGCCCTCCACCGCCCAGAGACCGTCCTGCACGCCGGCCAGGGTCACGGCCATCACAAACGCGTTCAGCGTGTCGCCGTCCTGGTTGTAGTTGACGTGCGCAAAGGCGCCGAGAAGCTGGCACACGGTGGCCGCCGACAGGCCCCACAGGTTGCGCGCGTACCACGCGGCGTCCGAGCGCCGCATGTGCCGAAACGTGCCGTCCGGCGTGGCCGCGTCGAACAGCTCGTCGACCGTCCGAAAGTGACGCCCGCCGTCCTGCACCCGGTACAGGCGATCAAAGTCGTTCAGAAGCGAAGCGACCATAGAGTCGATCTTGAACGGGTCAAACCCCCAGTGGCGCAGAATGTTGAAGAGGTCGCGCGGAACGGACATCGGGGAGCTGCTGCTTTTCACCATATACAGTCGATCATCGTAGACGCCAAAAGACTCTGTTTCGTCCAGCTTTGCTGACAGACCTAACAGCAGGCAGTGAGACAAGAAAGAGCAGCGTCCAGTTGCTAAGCAGTACTGGGCTGTGCAACAGTGCCCGAGCTGCAAGGGATACCTGCCTGTCGTAAAGGTGACAAACAACATCTGTGTAGGGACCCCCCCCCCCTCGCAACACACACACACCTCAGACCTGCCGATTGCAGAAGCGATGATAGCGAACAGCTAAGTTAGATATAGCAACTTGTGCTGGGATTACACAATTCAACAGCTTTGCAAGGCTGATGAACTGACCGCCACTAATTTTACCTTGGTATCCACCACACAGCTGATTGAAGTGGCTTTTTCTGGCCAGTGAATCTTTATTTTTTCATTTTTTCCATTTTTTTATTTTTACACACAAACGCCACACCACATACTCCGGCACACACTGGATGTTGGTAACCACCCAGGAGAATAAAAGCACACACATACACACACACCATTGGACCATTGAACGACCATCGCCGGAGGCGATGATCGCGATGCTACAGCAGAAGCCATAGCAGCTTGTGCTGGGATTGTACCATTCGACAGCTTGCAAAGCTGACGAATTGACCGCCACTATTCAGCCTGGTCTACACCACACAGCTATGAAGTGACTTTTTCTGGCCAGTGAATCCCTACTTTTTTACACACACACACACAACTGGAAGGTGGGGAGTGCCTGAAGCACAATTGGTAAACGACTGCTGGGTCATGTGTTACCGTCGGTTAAGTAAAGGCAATCTGCGTACTGTCGGTGACCAAACAAGCGGTGGGGTCATAGGCGTAGCACCCGTTCCCGTTATGCCGTTGCAACATGCATATCTAGGGTTGAAAGTAGTCCCCGCTTGAAAGAATGCTCATTTCGGGTGAACTGAGAGGTTCAAAATCTGGTTTAGTTGGTGGACTTGATCGCATAACTTGTGCCCACAATTTCCATGTTACAATTTCCGGTGAAGTGTCCGATTTGGCCGGACCACCTGAAATCCGGTGGAATTGCTTCATTAGAGAGGTTAAGAGTAGGGCTCAAACGGTTAGTCCGATTAACCGGTTGCAGACCGGTTACGAAGAATTAACGGTTAACCGATAAAGATAACGGTTACGCAGTAACTTTTCAGTCAATTTTTCAAGTACATCATGTCGTTGCAAAGTATGCACTTTCGCAGGCTGTCGCACGCGTACGCAATTTCTGGGCTGTCAACTCGGTCATCTCTGGTCTCTTGGTGTGAGAGTATGTATGAATGAGCATGCAAGAGAATGTACATGTGTGTGTTGTACTGAATAGGGTACATTTTTGAATGAGTATAGTCAAATATACGGTTAAGAAAGAGTCCGCAGGATTGCCGTGGCTTATAGGTTATAACCGTTAAACCGACCGTTAGCTTAGCAGTTAACCGTTAGGGGTAAAACCGTGACCGTTTGAGCCCTAGTTAAGATGCACGTTATTTCTGACGTGACGCGCAATTTCACGTCAAATTTGGCGTAAACCTCCAAATTTCAACGTGAGCTGCAGGTCACTCGCAAGCCAAATAACGTGAGCTGAACTTTCGCTTCACGTCAGAAATAATCGTGCAATCGTGAAATCATAAAAATCTGTCCAATAAAAATTTAATATCATTGTCAGAAATAATCTGTCGAGAATGCATGCATGTATAATGTGAAAAGGTGATTATTCATTTATTGTTGTTCACTCACCGAGCAATTCAGTGAAATTCTTCATGTACAAATTTCGTGGATGTAAAATAGCAGCTCCTGCCTCGAATACCTGGCCGGACACATCGATGGTCGTCATTCGACCGCCGACTTCAGGCCGCTTTTCGTACAAGACAATCTCAACATCGGGACGGAGCTGGCGTAGAAAATGAGCAGCGGAGCTTCCGCCGATGCCACCTCCGATAATAGCCACTCGATGACTCAAGGACGGCGAGGTCATAAAGGCTAGAAATAAAAATACCACGCAGCTACACGTATGCCTCGCCATCGGTGCCAGTGTACACATTGTTCTGGTGCACAACATGAAGGTTTTCTTGCGCGGCGATCAAATAAATCTGGCCGCAAAGAAAGGCAAAGAAAGGAGTTCCAGCTGTGAAACTAACTACGAACTCTTCGAATTGTAGTTGAAAATGACAACACAATGACTCGATCCATTATAATAGACCAACACGACGAAAACAAAGCCCAAGGCATGAGTACAAACGATCCGATCTTGAGGCGAATAAAATCTAAAGCTCATGCGAGGAGAACAGGAACTGATTTACCGGTAAATTTTATAGAACCAGCTGGTCAAACCATACGCTGTGATACTGCATGCTGGGAATTATCATCATAAACCTAGCAAAATATTGGTTTACAAGTCATTTCAGGTACAGTCATAGTTTTGGGAAAACCGAAAATCTCCTTGGTTGGATCGTACTCACTACTCATACTCGTAGACGTAGGACCAGCTTTGTGTTGTTTTGGAGATCGAACGAAGGAGAAGAGAGCCTACCAATTTGTAATGAGAAGTAGAACGAGATCTGCAGAATCCAGTTGTAGACTTCCTGCTGAGAGACTGGTTCGATTGTCCTTCTAGCCCCAGAGAGCCCTCCAACTGGCTTGATCCAGCATGGGACAATCCAAGTCTGTGTTCAGCCAAGAAGAGCTAGAAGAGTATCAGGTACTCAACTGGCTTACTGCCTCTCTGATCATCTTCTGCAAGACAGTCTGTGCTAAGATTAAATTTGTGTTTCTATTTATCGGCATTAGGACTTGACCTACTTCTCTAAAGCGGAAATTGTACAGTAAGTTCTTGTCAGATTTCTTAGATTTCTTTTCGTAATAGTAATTGGCGCTTCACTCAGATTCTGTAAACGATAGCTGGAACATGACCGTCTATACTTATGTGCGTCGTTCTACCCATATCTAGTGCATTCGAGCGCTTCCAAGCCCTCGATCCAGATCACGTCCGTCAGAATCGCCATGCGTCTATTCGACTAGCAACTGTACTTGCACATTTTCCGGAGATACGAGTAAGAGTATTATAATTATTATTATCATAATCATTGTCAACTTCGTCTGTCTAAAGTGGCTGTGTACATGTGTGTTCAGTGTGTTATTGTGCCTTTGGTGTGCAACAGTAGTACACGATGTCATTGATTTGTTCATTATGTAGATCTACAGTACTTATGATTATATCCTGTTCATCTGCACAGACTGCAGAGACAGTAGTGAGCTTTGTATGGAGTGGCAAGAGAGTGATTGCGATGCCACTAGTTGCACTCCGTACAAAACACCTCAAGTAATGGAGTAATGGCACAACCTCTACGTTGTATGCTCGTACACTGCCCATTACAAGAATGAAAGCAGAATAATCAGGTGTAATGAGCATCAGAGGCACCAAGTAATTCTCCAGTATAGCTGAGCGGGCTGTGTGCAAAGGCCAGTGGCACAGGACCAGCGGAAGGAGTTTTCGATTGGTCCGGCCATACTCTAGCCTTTCGCACATTGTGTATGATATGGTGGCTGCACATGACCTAACCAGCAGTACATGTATACACGCGTTGGTGGTCGAAAAGTTGGTCCCGCCGTGGCCAGACCGGCCGGACCGGTTCCGTTGGGCCTGTATCACCAGTGTACAAACGACAGCTGTAATCTGTGTTATAACTATACCTGGGATGTTACAGATTACTAGTAACTCAAAGTTAGTGTGTGTGTGCCGATCAGATCATTTCACTTTCCTCAAGTCAACTGTTGCTGCTTGAAAATCCCAGCTTGCCTTTGGCATCGAGTGTGTGTGCCGATCAGATCATTTCACTTTCCTCAAGTCAACTGTTGCTGCTTGAAAATCCCAGCTTGCCTTTGGCATCGAGAAGAGTGCGGATGCCCACGCACCCGTGCACTCACGCACACACCCCACACACACACGCGCGTGTGCACACACACACACCACACATGCACACACACACGCGCACGCACACACAATCAGTAGCAGGTTGACTGCAGGCCAAGCCCTACATTGTGCTGTGTGCAAGCACTCACACTGGATGATTGCACCTTCTTTTCGTTTGTTAACATGCACACACACATCCCAACTTCTGAGCATCTACATGTTATCCCCCGCAGTGCACTTTAATGGACCCATTGCACAATGACGTAATTTGTACCATAAACACCCTTCACAGCCACCTGGGCATGGTCGTCTGGGATGTTGAACAGTGCGTTCCTGATCCCAGCGTACTGGCAAGCATTACTCATACATTCCATATTTGGCAATGCGCAATGGGTCTATGGAGGGGGAGGGTTCGAGGGGCAACTTAGTGATGGATCCAGCGATGTGACAGTCTCTTTGCTCCTGTTAATGTCAACAGTGTTGTATAGCTGTAAAGCTAAAAGCTATCTAAATGTGCAGATGTTATCTGGGTGGATTCCATCTGATAATGGCCAAACCGACGGACTTACTGGGCATTTGCCTGCGTGCATCGTTTCTGTCTGTGCACACTGCAACCATGTGTGGGCGCGTTGCATAGTGTGTTACACCTAATCATCGCCTGTAGCTTGCATCTCCACCCAGCTTGTGGCGGCACCTGTGTGTGTGCGTGCGTGTGTGCTATCACAATAAAACTAAGCCGGCCTCGGCACGGTTGCTCATATTATGCATGACCGTCCTGAAGCCGGCCTTATTTTTTGTTTCACTTTGACAACAAGAACTCACTCAGTTTGTTCTGTATTCTCCTGTTGGCTTGGCCAGGTAAATCCGTTCGGTGAGCGGATATGCAAGCTCTTCTCGTCGGATGGCGAGGGCAACTTGACATTCGAGGACTTTCTGGACATGATGTCAGTGTTCAGTGAAAACGTAAGCGAGTCGCTGTGTTCAGTGTCGTGGCTCTCCATCCTACCCTGTCAAGAAGGCGCTCGCACAATGTGACATGCACAGCAACACGGCATAGCAGTGCACACTACATATGTACAGTGAAACCTGGTTAGGAAGAACACTGATAAGACAAATGTTTGCCTAAGAAGAACTACCGTACTGGCAATATATGTTGCCGCGTAACGCAGAGGGGTGTGGCGTAACGCGCGACCAGGCTAGTGCGACACATTTTCGTTGCGTTCGTAACGCGCGTCCGGCGGGGTGCGGCGATCTTTTCATTGCAGTTTGCAAAAAATGATGCGGCAATAGCAAAAAAAGTGATGCGGCAATAGCAAAAAAAGGACTGCGGCAATAGCAAAAAAAGGACTGCGGCAATATAGAAACCTGTGTAACGGCTCCTGTGCGACTTTGCATGTAACGCCCTGCGTGCGGTAAACATGTGCCAATGTAACGCTTCATGGCCTCACTGCGACCATATATATTGCCAGTACGGTAGTATTCGTAACTGTATTGGATAAAACCCTGTGTATTCACTGGGTAAAACGTATGGATAAGAAGAACTCCTGTTATTACGAACAAATATCATCGGTCCCTTGGTGTTCGTCCTAAAGAGGTTTGACTGTAGTTGTGTACATGTACAGTAATTACACTCCAATGTTTACATGGTACTTCCTCTGCACTATAGCATCACGAATGTACAGGCACAACGTGGTATTCAACTACCGGTACTCAGCAATGCCCCGAATTATTCGCTGCTACGAATGATGTGTGGTGCTCTGTGTCATGTATACGATAGCGCTATTCGAATGAATATCAAGCACCCTGCCGAGCCGGAGGACTCTCATTTGCCATTGTACATGTGATTGTATGTACACTCGGACGTCTCTTATCCGGGGACCTGGCACTGCCCGTATCTCAGATTTGGCCATGTCTCAGGATAACTCATCTACCATGTATCATACTTCAGTATCATTTTGAAGAAGTTTATTTGGAATGTATTGCACATGTTCAGGATACAAAAGGAACCCATGGATAAAAATGTGTGGATTACATAGGTTGGCAGTGAAAAATAAGCACTTCCTCATACGGAAAAAAAGTTCAAAACCCCCAAATTCGAAGCACTTGTGCTATCGGAACCCAAGCTGAAGGTGCCCGGTAGAGAGACGTGCCCGTATCTGAGGCGTCCGGATAAGAGGCGTTTGAGTGTATATATTTTACCTATTTGCTCTCTCGTTCTGTCGTGTGAGTGTGGTTAGAGAGTCTCCCTCTCTCTCTCTTTCTCTATCTATCTGTGTGTGTCTCTCTCTCTATCTGTGTGTGTGTGTGTCTCTCTCTCTTTCTCTCTCTCTCTCTCTCTCTCTCTCTCTCTCTCTCTCTCTCTCTCTCTCTCTCTCTCTCTCTCTTGTGCGTGTGCGCGCACAAGTGTGCTGGCTTGCTAGCCACCTGGCCGTCTTCTCTTTTATGGATTTTATTGTTGTATTTCAACGTGCTTTGTGTATTTTTTCTCTCATGTTCAGGCCGACAAGGATGTCAAGACGGAATGGGCGTTCATGATCTATGGTCAGTAGTGCTTTGACTTAGTGCTTCCCCATTTCTATGTGCCTGGCCCTTCATACCCGTGTAATGCACGATTCACACTGTCCGGTATGGAGACAGTTCCAGCTCAGTGGCATGGTTTGTCTATAGTAGGTTCTTCTGCAATGGCGTACCTTTGCTTTAGATTTCAACAATGACAATGTAATCGATCGGTCGGATCTAACTACCCTTCTCAGCAAGCTGTGTGGAGCAGAGTCCCGTGCACCGCCAGAGGAACAGATCTCCGAAGAGACCATGAAGGAGGTCATTGACAAGGTAAGCGATTGCTTGCGTCAAGAGTACGTACCACCCAGCTATGGGGTCTGCGCTGCGACGGCAGAACTTCACATCATGTGACGAACCCGTACACATTATTTGCACCCTGTGCATGATAGATACAAGGTCGTTCGCAACCGTGCCTTGGGTTCAACTCTCGTGCGGTCACTGTTTGGCAGCGAAACCTATTGAACCATGTTACGTGGTGTGAAGTTCTGCCGTCGTCGCAGCACAGCATAGAGTTTGTGCAGCTAGTTGCACACTCGGGTTTATGTTTTCTTGCTTTCGCCCCGTTCTGCTTTGCACCTTGTTAGGCTGTGTTTACATGAGAAATTTCAACCCGGGTCGAGTTCAGCCCGGGTTGAAAGTCTGTACGATAGACAAAATAGGTGAGCGTTTACACGAAGACAGTTGACCTGGGTCAAATACTGATATGCCGCCAAAAGTCCACTTCTAGAGTCCTGTTTGGTCATGTGAATGAATGCTTTCGCGCGAAATTTGCATGTGCAGTGCTATTCAAACCTGGTGCGAGATACGCACAGAAGTACGTTTGTACGATTTTCTCGCCCCGGGTTGATTTCAACCCTCCCCTTGGGGACAGGGTTGAAATCAACCCGGGGCGAAATTTCAACCCGGGTCAAGCGCAATGCGTCATGTAAACGCGCCATTCATTTTGTGTACATGGCGGGTTGAAATCTGACCCGGGGCGAACTCAACACAAAGTCATGTTGAAACGCCTCGTGTAAACACAGCCTAACTGAGCGCACACAATCATGAGCATTGAATTCCCCCTGTAGCACAGCGGGTTGGCCCCACTGGCACATGTTATTACACTTGTTGCAAAACGCATCTGATATAGCTAGTCTTAGTGTGCCTTGTGCTATGCAGTCATTTCTAAAGGCCAGGTCTATTCGTGTACACGTTGACACGAGGGCTGTAGGCTTTTGTGCAGTGCTTGTGTACAGTATAGGCAAGCACAGCTGCTGCCAGAGACATGCCACTGAAGACCATGACTGATCTGAGTGGGCTCAGAATTCGCGCTTTGGACAAGCAATCATGGAGGCAACTCTCAGCGTGAGCTGGTTTTGCTCGCGGCTGCAACGCACGGGGTAGTGAACCCAGGACAGAAGCGGACCAGGCATCATGACTTTGCACATATATCGTTATGCTGCTTCATTACGCGACCTGTTTTATTATTATTCATATTATTGTGTACAGTATACCGAGACCACGCCATTCCCTGCAGACGGCCGATGTCATATCCGTGATCCAGACTGCTCTTGGTTCTGCATCTGCCTGGTCCTCCTGATACAGCAGTTCCAATCCATCCATCCACCTAGATTTCTGTGCTCTTTTTATTTCATCCATTATGTTCTTATATTGTAGTTGACAGTCATGGCACTCTGTTCTCACTGTCACTGTTTGCTCACCATGCAGATTATTTCAGAAGGAGACTTGGATGATGATGGCATGTTGTCTTATCCAGAGTTTGAGCACGCCATCCTCAAGTCACCAGATTTCTTCGGGTCAGTTGTAGACATGGACACAGTTGGTGTGTGTGTGTGTGTATGTGTGCGGGTGGGTGGGTGCGCATGTGTTGAAAACTTTGTGTTGTGGAGACCAATTATGATGTTATTTTTGCCTGGCTGGCCTGAAAGGGCATCTCGATCTAAGCGCTGCGGGTTGTGGTATTGTGGTTGACTTGTTGCCGTGCACGTTGCCTGCACAGTGTCGGGTCTCTGTAACAGTACTAGCGCTATGTCTGCTTGAGTGTGAAGAAAAATCTAGTGCAAGGCGCTAAAAAGTTGGGTTGACTTTTTTTGGATGAATGCACTATAGTTTCATCTGGAATTTGATGGGGTGATGAGTACTGGTGTCGAGTTCCAGCATGCATGTACAAGCGTAAGACCCTCCAATTCGTGTGGTGCTCGCTTGTACTTTGTCGCAGCAGTCATATCTCTAGGCCCATTTCGGAGACGACTCCGTATGGCCAGGGCTTCATTACAGCTTGGTGGACAACCACTTGAAGCTCATTTCCTCTTTTTACTGCTCTGTGTTTTTCCTGTTTCTGCAGAACATTCCGAATCCGTATGTGAACAAGTTTCCTGCCACAGTACCCGCCGTCTTCACTGGCTTTCCCCACGCCACCTCTAGTTTCGCTGGTAGGTTCGCAGTGCCCTCGTTGCTTTGCCCTGCTGTGGCGTCAACGCATCGCCCGTATCATACTATTTTATTAATTTCCTCTCCGCTGATTGCTTCAAAGCTGTACATAGCGCTCTTTGCTCTGCAAGGCAACACCCCACTATTCTCTCACCGTCTCATTTGATTTGCTTTCGACTTCATGACACACACACCACTGACTAAAATCCTCCTCAACGAAACGTAGCTCTTTGCCTACTTTCTGATCTATACCTAGCATGCATGCGCAGACGCCATGCAGAACCATATCATCTCGAATCGAACTAATTGCTTGAAATGGAGCCGACTATAAATTTTTGAGTACCGATATGACTAACGTTACTTTCATGAAAGCTCTTCTCCCCCTGCATTCCCTTGTTGCACAGTAGAATAGTTGTATTTATATTTTGGAATTGCCTTAGAAATCCCTGGCTGGATCTCCTGTTTTTCTGTTGTGCTCTTCCTGCTCGATTTTATTCTATTTTGTGTTTTTTTGTGTATACCTGGTGCTCTATTTTTTAACTAGCCACTGTTCTACACGTGCTGTGTGTGTAGCGGTGTAACAACTATTATGATGTACAGCTACAATCATTCTAACATAATATATGCCATATTTAATATGGCATATGCATGTATATTATATTGTCAGTATGGCACTCGGCTGTATCGCCCTCACGATAATAGTAGCTCGCAGTGTTTTCGCCGGTGCACCGGGGAGCTGTGCAATGCCGATATTGTACTTACTACTCCCCGGCTGCTGTGTGTGCAGATTGTCCAAGAAAAGGACAGACATGTCTACTGTATATCTACATATTTGGGTGTTGGGCCGGTGAGAAACTTTGGCCGATCCCGAAATGAAACTTTTGGCCGTCACCAGACTTTGGCCGATTGGAGTTTTCAAAAAAGAAATCGATAGGTAGTTGTTGCTCTCACTTGCAGCCATGGCTCAAACCAGGGAGTAGTACAATACCTACTATTATAATAGTATTGTACGACTCGTACTACTCCCTGGCTCAAACATGCATCATTTGCCTCTATGACAAACTTTAGCCTGCAATTTACTTTGGCCGGTTGACACCAAGCGGCGAAATTAAATTGCCAGCGAAAATTGCTTGATTTACTGTAGAGTAGAACCCGGGTTAGGGATCCACCTATTATTAATATTTAATATTAAACTCTGCGCGGACATAGCTGGACTCAGTTGTACAGGGATGGGCAAAAAGGTGTGCAAAACGACTTTTTGTGAGTAGATGGACCCCGGAAAAATAGTTTGGAGCGAAAAAAATTACGGCTTCCTCGGAAACAGACAGGGGACCCCCCTGGGCCGGAAATTAAATCCCGGTGTAAGGATCACGCGCACAATGTACATGACAAGTGCAGTATACAATTGTATACAGTACCGTAACGTACCGCCAGAGCGCCCCGTCTCGCGAGAGCGCCCCACCTTGATTTTACAGCCAAGGGAAGAAAATCGTATGGCAGAATGCTACTAAGTTTGTACGATGTGAGAACCTTCGTGTACTAAGGTCACACTTGGTATGCTTTTATGTGGAGCTCGAAGGTAAACTGGGTACGGATTGACTGCACAATGTGCAATGTTTGTACAAGGTCCGTGTCGTATGACCTACAGACAGGAATCCACCTCCACAAGGCGACCACGAAAGGACGAGATGGTGGGGCGCTCTGGCGGTACTTTACGGTAATTCTGGAAAAGTGTTTAAAAATAAGTTACAGCGGATGGCAGAATTGTGCAAGAGTGCTATCGTAAGAAAATTCCAAAACCTAAAATTAAATAAAGGAATGTGTATTCATGAGGTTTGAGGGATTGAAAAATCAACAAAACAACTTTTGACAAAAGACTGGGTTTGCTTGGCCTAACAAACGGCACGGGGGCGAACTACATCAGCCATGCTAACTTTCGCTGGGGTGTTGTGAAAACCTGCAACAGCTTGTGAACCTAGCATTGAGAAGAATGCGGCGATGTGACCAAGAGACATTACCGGTACTACGGCATATCTAGCCACAGCCTAGTATTACCACTGGCCAAATAAATTAAATTATAAATTTAGATAGGCTGATTGATAGGCACGGCGAAAGGCCATGGGACCTCCCATGTCAGGCACCATGAACCATTAGCAGCACACACTCTTGTGAACCGCTCCGGTGAAAAGCAGTTGCGCGAATCGATGGTGGCGAGCGTCTTCCTTTCCACACGCGTTCGCACCCTAAGATCGTCGTTCCAGAGGTGTTCTGTATTTGTCAGGATTAGTCCGCCATGTCCCGGAGTAATTCCAATAGACAGCTCATTGACCAAGCCTGAACGGGAAGAAAACATTGCTCGTTTTAGGCAAACTACATACTTGGGCGTTTACAGTCCATTCTGAAAAATCAAGCCACCCCCACTGAGAACACAGTGCACACTGCAATAATCCCACCGACCTGCACTGGACAGCTGTCAATGCACTCAGCACCGGCAGCATTGGTCAGCTCCGCCAGGCCTTGCCACTCAGAGTCCTCCAAGGCGTCTTGGAGACGAGCTACGGCACTGCGAACGCTCGCCACAACGCTCTCGGCAGATGGACTGGCCGACGCAAAACGATAGCGAGCCCGCAGGAAGAAACCCTTGATCCAAAGCCATTCCTGTTGGCAGACAAGCAATACACGGTTTTAATATAAGCCCACCCGCGTATAAGCCCATGCCCGCGCATAAGCCCAGGCCAAGTTCGAACAGCGCAAAGCTTCGTTGTACAAGCCCTTGGGCCTAGGTCGGACATTTTTTCTTCTTTTTTTTTGTACATTTGAACACAATCATCGGTGTTTTTTGTTCGCACAGTGATTTTCAGCAATGCACTTCTCACTTCCTTGGTACTTTTCAATAGCACGATTTTGGTGTCGGGGTATAAGCCCGTGTCCGCGTATAAGCCCAAGCCAGGGTGTACTATACATGCACAGATACTACAAGCACTTCAACAGTACTTACTGGTCCCTGGTGATAATTAAAACCACGTGCAGAACCGTAGTCGAACGAGTCCGTGCCGTTGCTGTAGATTCCGTTGTAAGCCCAATCCCTACAAGGACACACACATGAACAGACACATGCATGAACAGACGTATGCATGAACATACGTATGCATGAACTGACGTATGCATGAACAGACGTGTGCATGAACAGACGTATGCATGAACAGACATGTGCATGAACAGACGTATGCATGAACAGACGTATGCATGAACAGACGTATGCATTAACAGACGTATGCATTAACAGACGTATGCATGAACAGACGTATGCATGAACTGACGTATGCATGAACAGACGTGTGCATGAACAGACGTATGCATGAACAGACGTGTGCATGAACAGACGTATGCATGAACAGACGTATGCATGAACAGACGTATGCATGAACAGACGTATGCATGACAGACGTATGCATGAACAGACGTATGCATGAACAGACGTATGCATGAACAGACGTATGCATGAACAGACGTATGCATGAACAGACGTATGTATGAAAAGACACATACATGAACAGACATGTCCATGAACAGACGTATGCATGAACAGACACATACATGAACAGAAACATGAACCGTAACGCACACCTGTGTTTGCAATGCTCATCACCAGAAACTGATCACGCGAGTCTCCCCCCGGGAGGGATTCAGAAGATCCTGGACAAACAACTTGGCTATTGAATCATCCAACGGCCAACGATACTCAAATCTCCATACTCTGGGCAGACTAGAAAACAAGACCCCGCTTATGGGCTCACCATACCACAGCTAGTGGGTGAGGTTACGGTAGTTGCAACACAGGTTCCCCTATCTTTCGTGTGTAGAAAGGCTCTGCCCTATATGGGTATTGAGTACTGTTCGGACAGCGGAGCACGCTACTTGATACACATCCTATACATAACCTTTGTATCTCAATACTCTCAATACCCTATCGATACACAGCTCAAACTCTCTTGCTTCCATTCAGGTCATGAAGTTCTTTACCAGCCATATGTCAACAGAAGATTTAAGACTATCCGAACAGAACACCTTCACAACGGTCTCCAGCGAAGAGCGGGCACTTGCTCTTACTTTGGATCTAGCGTGGCCATACCCTGCGGTCCGCCCAGGATATCCTGTGCATTCTGCAGGGCAATGGCTGCATTGCCAGGTGTGAACAGATTCGGCGCCTACACAGCAGTGACACGGGGGAAATAGAACAACACGCCACATGGGAAGTCAGTGGTAGAGAGCAAGAGTCTTGCATGGACTACTGTACATGCACTGCGAGTCTGTAAATGTTCGGCCCCGGCATTCAAATTTCGGCCTCCCACGGCTAAAACACATTTCGGCCGCATCAAATTTTCGGTCTGTACAGCTGCCGCCTGTATACACTGTCACACTGAACCTTGCAAAACAAAATTTCGGCCGAACATGACCAGACCGAAAATAGCCGAAAATAAATATGCGCCGAATATTTGTTGACTCACAGAACTGGCATAATCATGCCATGATGGCATAAACATTATACTTTGATAGCGTGGCTCATGTTCCTCAAGGTCGATCTATAGCCATAGTGAACTTTGTCACACAGCATAGTAGTTTGTGAGACATACAAATAGGTAAACCATGAGAAAGATGATCAAACAGACAGATAATGCAGGAAACACGCACCAAAGTCCAAACATCAGTAAAAGTAGAGCTACAACGCGCCTACTCACCACAACCATAGCGATGGGGAAGTTTGGTCGGAGCTGGAAGTCAGCAAAGCGCTGCGCTGCACCAACGGTGTCCTTGTAGATGCCGCGGCGATGGATGTACTTGGCATCGCAGCCTTCGCGCTGCACATCCGAACCGGACGTCACTGGTATCCAGAAGCGCTGCTCAAAGTTTTTCTTCAGCATTGCATCCCACTCGGCATACGTTGTGGTGTTGCCTGAAGAAAGGGAGAGAGAGTGAGAGGGACACACACACAGACGGAGAGAGAGAGAGACAGAGAGAGAAAGAGAGACAGAGTGAAGTCTAAAGGGAGCTTGATACTGGCTAGTGGGGACTACACTCACCCTGCAAAAGTGGGGACACATAGGGTCTCCGTTTCACAGCATGCTCATGTTCTTCGCCAAAGCAAAACAAAAAGACGGAGGAAAACACTGTTGTAGCCTTTAGGACAAATATGCCAAGGGTGACGATGGGGAAATAATAGTGCAGAAATTTAGTAACACATTGCATTCAAAGTAGCAGGTTTTCACGATTTAAGCAAAGGCCACCTGATGATTGCAAAAATGTGAAATCCCGACCAGTAACAGGTGTTTTCATTCATTCTTTCTACGACACGGTGAGCTAATATTTTAATTAATGTTCATATTATGTGAGCCTTACCTTCCGCTACATTCACACCAGCATACGGGAAATCACCAGATGCATGAAGTTTTGCTAGCCAGGCTACAGTGGATTTACACAGGCCAACGATCTCCACAGCAGAGCCATCACTGTGAACGCAAATATAAACAATGCAGGCAGTGAAACAAAACATTCAGGGGTATTAACGTATGTAATTAGGTGGGTGGGCAGGCAGGCAGGGGCAGGCGCAGGTAGGCAAGAAGACAGGCAGGCAGACAGGTGCATGGGTGGGTGGGTAGGTAGGATGGATTGATGGACGGATGTAAGAATGGACAGATGGA